AGGCTCACCCAGAGCAGGGGGCACAGGACAGCGTCCAGGCGGGGGTTGAAGATCTCCAGAGAAGGAGACTCCACAGCCCCCCTGGGCAGCCTGGGCCAGGGCTCCGTCACCCTCACAGTCAACAAGTTCTTCCTGACGTTCAACTGGAACCTCTTGTGCTTCAGTTTGTGCCCATGGCCCCTTGTCCTGGTGCTGGGCACCACTGGGAAGAGTCTGGCTCTGTCCTCGTGACCCCCACCCTTGAGATATTTGTAGGTGTTGATGAGATCCCCTCTCAGCCTTCTCTTCTCCAGGCTGAACAAGCCCAGCTCCCTCAGCCTTTCCTCGTAGGGGAGATGCTCCAGTCCCCCCATCATCTTTGTTGTCCTCCTCTGGACTGTCCCCAAGAGTTCCTCATCTTTCTTGAACTGGGGAGCCCAGAACTGGACCCAGTGCTCCAGTTACACAGTACTCATGCAAGTGTGGGAACAGGAATTTCATGCTTAACAAAAATTCATGAAATATTTGGCAACAGTACCCACAAAGAAAAGAGTCCACCATGTATTCTAGAACAAATTCTTGTTTTAGGATCTTGGTGAGTTCAGTTATGGGCAAGGAGCCACGATGAGGGGCTATAAAGGAGATTTTCCTTGTTGCAAGGCAGTGTAGTTAACTTGCTGCTAGCATTAGCCCTCTAGGAAAGGACCGGGATGAAAATCCGAGATGCCTTGATCTCTGGGTTGCACGGCCACCCTGTATATATAGCTCGGGGTTTACCGTTCCGGCCTCGCACCCATGGTATTCGACAACGTGATCCTGCTTTGCATGTGGAATGCTGCGGCTGCAATGCGTGCCGCCCCTCTCGGCTTTTCCTATCAAGTGATCCTCATGTACCGGGCCTATGGAAGATGGGGAGCTATTTAAAGGAAGCTGTTTATCTAGAGGTTTGGAACCAAAGTATGAGGGGTGAGAGACAACAGGAAACTAAAAGATCGAGTGACTTTCTCTCCCAGGATACAGGGAAACAGTCATCTGAATTTGGGGATGAGAAAACAGTCGGCGCAGCTTGTTCAGAGGAACCGAGGCAGCCGATGAGGGCATCTGATACGAGGAATGGCGCATTCTGTCTGGTAGAAACTTAATTGCGCTGAAGTACATTCCATTTAGCTGGGGTAAGAGCGATAGTGGGAACATAACCGGGGGTTTGCTCTAGCGTCTCTCTCTTTGGCCGTACGGCAACGTAAATGCAGATTGAGGCAAGCACCGTTCGGAGAGCAAGCTCTGAATCACTGGGACCAGAGACTGTCTAAGCACGATCGTTTTTGTGAGGTGCTTGTAGGGGAATCACTTCCTTGCTTCTGTCTTGCATCCTTTTTGGGTGGCTTACCCAGGGAAGTGGTATTTCTTTCTCATGGGCCGGGTCTCAAGGCCAGGTTGGATGGGGCTGTGAGCAACCTGATGTGGTTCAAGGTGTCCCTGCTCCTGCAGGGGGGTTGGGCTGGGTGACCTCTAGGGGTCCCTTCCCACCCAAACCATTCCATGATTCTATGAAGGAGATGTGGTAGTTTACTCCATCCTCGAAAGGGCTGCCGCTGGAGACTGGCAGGGATGAGTAGTTGCTACTGAAAGCAGTAAGAACCTTCAAAATGACAAAAAAGCAGAACTGAATGGTTATTGTTTGCCCTGAAATGCGTATGTGTTTTTGGGACGCCTCGGAATAACTGTTGGATTAGAGGTGGGGTGGGGTTGGTGACCTCTCAGGGGAGAGAGAAGCAGAAGGTATGTGGGTGGGCAGTAGGCGGAAAGCAGCCTGGTGTATTCATGGGATGCAAGCAATTCAGTCGGTGGGGGGAAAAAAAAAAAATCTATGTAGACAACTGGATGAAGTTAGGGAAGCCATCGAAATGTTTAGTAATGAAAGTGCAAGAGCTTGGGAACCCAGAGAGCTGAGGAACAAGAACTACTGGTGCAGGACGTGAAACTGGATATTAGAGGGATAGCAAACATGATGGGACCGCATGTGTACCAGGCATTACCTGTTTTCTGATAGCGTAGGCAAGATAAAACTGGAGATTGGGTGTGGAGTGGGATGTAAATGAAGAACAGGCTGCTCTTCCTCTGCTGGGCTGCTTTCCAGCGTCACTTCCATAAAAACGGTGTCAGGGGGGGAAATGAAGCTGCAACCTTGGAAGCAGGGTTGCAATGCATAGACAGGTATCTCTTAACATTCAAATGTTTCCAGCAATGTTGCTCCAAAATAGAAAACAATCCTGGCTCATGACGGAACGTGTGAGTTGGGATTTGCTGGCCAGGTGCTAGATGACTTTTTTTTTTCCCCTCCCGTTCACTAGCGCTTCTATAAGCAGTTGGAGTCTTCCTCAATTTATTATGCAAGGGGACAAGGTGAAGTCTATCTTGGAGCACTGTAAGACTGAAAATCTTTGCAGCCACACCTGCAATTTTAGTAAATTTGGGGTAAATAAAGATTATTTAGCATTTCTGCTTGTCAGTCGAGAACATCCCATACTTAAGGAAGAAGCCATCTTGACAACTGCGGATCGTAGAGACCACACTGGCAGTACAGGAATGATTTCCTTCAGGGTTTAGTGAAAGAGCAACTGGAGATGCAGGTTTACCAAGGGAAGAAATGGTTTTGCCCAGACCAAGGAAATGTGGTAGATTTTACTGAACTGGTACCAGAACCGTGGCTGATACAGCCCTACCCCGTTTGAGGTGGGGTAGTCATGCCCAGCACTAAAAATCCAGCTGATTCTTTTAATTTTCTTTAATCATAGAATCATAGAATCGTCTAGGTTGGAAAAGACCTTTAAGATCATCAATGCTCTGCTGCAAGAGATGGGGCTGCGAGTGATTTTTTTTTTCTTTTTTTCTTAACAAATAAGGTAAAGTTTGGTGTTTTCAGTGCAAAGAGCTTGGGATATTTTGTGTGAGTGTGTGATAACCTGGTGGATTGCAGCAGCAGATGCGGGATGAACTTTAACGGAACCGAGAGTCGGGCTGCGCGTTGAGGGCTCGATGCCTTTGGGTGTGATCTGGGTGTTCATCAGTTGGAAGTAGCTGGGGAGAAGGACCTCAGTGCCCCCGTTTATCACAGGGTGGATGGTCGGCAGATAATGAGGTGGAAAACGAAAACGTGGGTTCATGGTGTGTATTAGCAGCGTGTCCTTCTGTTGGGAAGGGGAGCGTTAGTGTTACCACACATGCAAGAGCTCAAGAGCATACATGAGATAATTTTCCATTCCTTAGCTTAGTAACTGCCCTTTCTGCCCCTCCTGAAGGGAACAGGACTCACCCCGGAGTGCTTTACCACATATTAAAGCTGAAATGGTGCTCTCTTCACATGCAAATAACTTAAGGGTGGGTGTCACGAGGATGGAGCCAGACTCTTCTCAGTGGTGCCCAGCGCCAGGACAAGGGGCCATGGGCACAAACTGAAGCAGAAGAGGTTCCAGTTGAACGGGAGGAAGAACTTGTTGACTGTGAGGGTGCCCGAGCCCTGGCCCAGGCTGCCCAGGGGGGCTGTGGAGTCTCCTTCTCTGGAGATCTTCAACCCCCGCCTGGGCGCTGTCCTGTGCCCCCTGCTCTGGGTGAGCCTGCTTGGGCAGGGGGGTGGCACTGGGTGAGCTCCCGAGGGCCCTGCCAACCCCGGCCATGCTGGGATTCTGGGATTCACTGGGCTGGTTTCTCATTAACTTCAAGGAGCTGTCACGTTACTCCCGCAGAACAGGAATGTGCATCTGTAGGGGGAGGAACGAGCCGTAGTGTTTCTGTGTGACTTTGTGCGAATAAGCAGGTGCCGAGGTGACGTTCTGTTGTGAGACTGCCTTGATGACTCGCGACGGTGAAGAACGCGTTGGACGTTTCTCCATGTGAATCGAAACACTTCACTGACTCCATGCAGCTTTGTTGATGTTCTTTCCTGTGGAGCACTGTAGGGAGAGTATGAGGAGTGTTGTTTTGATGGAATTTTTTCTCTGTGTTTTGTAATAAAAAAACTTTAATGAACGCAGTGTAAACTATTGTATAGAAAAATTTGGGACGTAACACCCTGTAGATGAGGAGATGGTTCCCTGGTCAAGCTGGTGGGTATAGCTTCATTGAAACCATGGGGAATGCACAGAAAATATCCTGCTGTATTCAGGAAACGCAGCTCCTGATTTCTTTTTTTTTTTTTAAATCTGGATCCCCTTGAAATACTAATCCAAGTATCGTTCATGCAGTCCTTAGAAGAATGCAGCATGTGCTTTTCTAGTTGAGTAACACATCTGTAGGGTTTGACTTGTGAATTTATTAATAATGGTGCCGGAGATTCCACTCTGAAGCTTGGAGGTACCGAAAATGGCATGGGGTCATATAGGCTGTATGGAATCAAACAAGCTTCATCTTTGTGTTCTTGCTTGTCTCGGGCTGAAGCGTGACGGATCTGCCACATGGCAGCCTTGAGGACCTTGCGTGGTGGCGCTGCGTGATAATAGCCGGTAAATCAGGCGCCAGATGTTTTGGTGCCTCTTTAGCTTTGTTCGACTCGGATAAAAATCAACTCATGAACCCAAGCCAGCTGTCGCAGGCAGCTGCGCAGGTGCATGCCGCAACGGTGACTTCGAGAGCTTTTAAGCCACGACACGAACACCTGAAATAGCGCACAGTGGAGGGCTGTCCTAATCATCCTGGGTTACTTCAGCTTCAGTGGCGTGTTTGGAAAAAAATCTGTTAAAAGGGATGATGCGGGAGAAGTTGCTCACAGTTTTCATGGTATGTCCTCAATAGCTTGAGCAAGCGTTGATGTGCAGTAGTAACCGCTAGACAGCATTCCTGTCGAGGAGCGAATGTCAAAGCAAGCTGCCCGGGGGGGCTGTGGTGGGACTGTAGCACAGTTCCTCAAGATGTAGTTAATTTTGGGGAACGTAAATCATCTCCTAATTAGCCATCCCTGATAAGCTCACATCCAAGTAGTCTGTAATTGTACGGCTTCATCTTAATTGTGCACGCGTTGTATTTTGCAGATAAGCCGTTTCCGAGGACCGAAGGACCCGCTAAAGGGAACGCCTGCTTTTGAGGTAAGAGCTGCTCTTCCAATGACGCAACACCGAGTCTTTCATTAAAAGCAAAGGTTTGACACAGCTGTGTGTGCACACTAAAACTTCAGCTGTTCTGGGAAATACGGCCACCGTGTAGGGTGCTGAAATGTCAAAATCTCCGACAGAAGCTCAGCAGCAACGCTTGACGGAGCCGGCATGCCAGGCTGTGACAAGTGGGGCGGTAAATGGGCTCTGGGAGCGTCCATGTGTCTGCAAAAGGCGTTACACGGAGCGTTCTGTGGCTGGAATGGCTGCAGAATAAACACATCTGCAGTGCCCTTACCTTTCCAGTCTTCCCTCTTGGACACTGTATTTACTACTCTCTCTTGCAGCCTTCTTTTTGGGTATTTATTGAAGTTTCTAACGTTCCCCTGCCTCTGTTCTAGATAGCAGGGCTGGTGTGTGATCAGGGGACCTCCTTTCTGGCCAGCTGGACCTTCTTGCTTGCTTTTTCTGCTGTAAAGGGCAGTCATCTTGTTTATCCTCATCACTGAAACCTTTTTATCAGAGTCAGAGGACTACAAAAGAGTAAAATGAACAAACTAGACTGAGAAAAAACACAAGTCTGATGTGTTAGGGGTTGGGAGCAGCGGCTCATTTGAGTTCCTCGTCCTAGCCTTCCTCTGTGGAAGGCACCATGAAGCTACGCTCTCAGCAGAGCCTATCATCAGGTCTGCAGTCTGAGGCTATTTGAGGTGCAAGCGCTCACATAACGTGTTTTAGTGAAGGAATTACAGTTTCTTCATTGTATTTATATGGACTGAGGGACCTGGGTGTCTTCTACATTGCAATTTGATTCGTGTGACAGTGATAGGTCTCAAATGCTGCCTATTCCTTAGAATCATGGAATCGTTGGGGTTGGAAAAGCCCTTTCAGCTCCCCCAGCCCAACCGCTCCCCTACCCCTGCCATCCCACCCCCAAACCCTGGCCCTCAGCACCGCCTCTGCCCGGCTGTTAAATC